TGTGTGTGTGTGTGTGTGTGTGTGTGTGTATCACAATTTCCTCATTCATCCACTGATGGACACTTTGGTTGCTTCCATATCTTGCCTACTGTGAATAATGCTGCCTCCCACTCTTGTTTTTTGAAATCTTGTCCAGTTAACCTATCTTCTGGTTTTTGAGGCTTGCACAGGATTTCAGGATTCCCATATTTAACACTAGGAATCAGGGGCACCTGGGTGATTCAGTTGGTTAAGCATCTGACTTCGGCTCAGGTCATGATCTCACAGTTCATGAGTTCGAGCCCCGGGTTGGGCTCTGTGCTGACAGTTCAGAGCCTGGAGCCTGCTTGGGATTCTGTGTCTCCCTCTCTCTCGTCCCCTCCCCCACTTGCATGAGCCCTCTCTCTCTCTCTCTTTCTCAAATAAGTAAACATTAAAAATTGTTTTTAAAAAGGAATCACACAAAATACTCAACTGGAGAAAGTGTAAGAGACCAGATTATCTATCCCTTGGAATATATTTAGCTTTTATTAAAATCCTAGAGGTGTGAGCTTCCCTTTTTTCATCAGTGGCCTCTCTCTCTTCAAATTAGTGTATGGTCGGGGTCGGGGACTCTTGTCAAGGAAGAGTCCTAATTAGTGACATTCTGGTAAATGGAATCTTTATTTTAAATTAACCACTATTGGGGCACCTGGGCGGCTTGGTCAGTTAAGTATCCAACTTCAGCTCAGCTCCTGGTCTCACAGTTTGGAGTTAAAGCCCCACATTGGGCTCTCTGCTGACAGCTCAGAGCCTGGAGCCTGCTTCGGATTCTGTGCCTCCCTCTCTCTCTGCCCCTCCCCTGCTCATGCTGTCTCTCTCTCTCTCCCTTTCTCTCAAAAATAAATAAATATTAAAAAAATTTTAATTAACCACTATTAAAGCTGTCTTCATTAGAATAGCCTGGGCTTGAAATTACGAATAAGTCAATCTCTCTAAGCTATTGTGCTAGTTTTCTTGGTTATGCATATGCCCAGAATCTCATTATCTCCAACATTCTCAGCCACCTGGGTGTAATGGGGGTGTGATTTATGAAGGATCACAAACTCCTCGCAGGCCTTTTAGCCACCCAGGCTCCAGTGGGGTGGACCGAACAGACCAAAACTGCTATACAATGTTTTTGGCTCTTTCTACTAATTTTCCTTTTGTTGGATCTCACATTGGCTTCAGGAGTTATATATGTCTGGGAAACTGACACTGCAAAGTTCTGGCTTGTTCCCTGCCCTGATGCTAAGGGATAAATATAGATCTCAACCACTACAGAAATGTGGCCAGGATTCCAAGGGGTGTGTGCGTGAGGGGCAGTGACTGTTCAGGCTATTCTGACGTGTGGGCTACAGAAAAGCTTCTTTATGTCCAAGACCCTCTTTGGGGATGGAGGGGCAAAGCAGGAGCCTGGCCCCTAAAATCAGAACACATAACCCACATTTCAAGGGGCTCATGGGTCGACACAAATAAGGAATATTGTAGGTGGCTCGGTGTGTGTTGGGGGGGTGGGCAGAGCAAAGAGAATCTTTCCTGACACCCTGGATCCTTTTGCATGAGATCAGCCTTATGAAAAAAGAAAGTTATTCTTGGCCATGTCCCCTCACCCCCAACTCCCACCCACGCCCACCCCCTGCACACGCTGATACTCAGCTCTCAATTGAGAAGAGCAAGACTTAAGCTTTCCATTGGGCCCGTAGTATCTTGGGCGCTGGAGGAGAGCAGAGGGCGGGTAGAGCATGAGGTGAGGGGGATGGGGAGTCACTCATCCTCGTGACCCAGAATATCCCCCCCTCCCTGTGATGATGAGCTTGCTTTTCCAGAAGGGCTTTCCTTTGATTCAGGGAATGGGCCAACCAATGAGAAAGGGGCATGTTAGATTATTTTGGGGAAGGGCTCGTGCCAGGAGGGTGCACTTTTACTAGGCGACAAGTGTCCCCAGCAACCAGTGTCTCCTGTACCAGCAGAAGCTCGGGAACTCTCACCCCCTTGCCTGCCTCTGCCGCGTCTTTGCCCACTGACCAGCCATGAGAAGGCAGCTCCGGTCCAGAAGGGCTCCGGCCTCTCCTTACGGTTATCGCTACAGACTTGTGAGTCCCAGGGAGCAGACTATTTTGCTGTCCCTTGTTAGTGGGGTTGTGGTGTGCATAGATCTTGGCTTATGGCTGCTTCTCCTTGGCACGGGCAGGAACAGTGAGGTTTGTGGAAGCCTGTAGTTTCAAGATCGAGCAGCGACTCCTGGCACCCCACTGAACCCTACATTGCTGCATTGAAGGAGGAAGCCCCTCTTCCTGGGGAACAAAGATAAGGGAGGGGAAAGATGCCAGAGAAGAAGCGGCCTTCTAACATTGGGGGAAGGGGGGGAGTCTAGAATTTAAACAGACCTTTTGGAATCTGAGAGTAGAGATTTCATTCCCATAGCAGGAAATTCAGCCAGGGGAGAGGGAAGGGGAAAGAGGAAACCACAGACCCAGCTGTCTTGGTCCCTTTGGGTGGAAGCTTCTCAGGAACCCGGCTGCTCTTTTCCTAGAGCAGAAATTCCAAACTAGCGCTAAAA